AGCGAAAGTTGTCCTGATTAGAGACACCATACATGTGCCTCGGGTCTACTTCGCCCGTGTATGCATTGAGGAAATCGTTGCTCACGAGCATCCCATTCCAGGCCTCGATAAAATCAGTAGGCAAGTCAAAGCCAGCCACCAGATTACCATCCATTCCCAGGAAACGAGTCATAGAACGGTAGATCGTGTAGTGAAATGCGGCCGAGTCCAACGCCTGGTAGCCATCATCCCTGAGGAAATACGCGTCCGAACTATTTTTCAGCTTAGCACCAGCATCTGCAGATTCTGGCTGCTGATCTGGTTGACGGCCCCGTCCCAGGTAGAGACTACCAAAGGTATTTCCTGATGTGATCTCGCCGGGAAGGAAAAAGTTATCCTTGCCATATTTCTTCGCACATTCACGGTAGACTGCGGTTATTTCACTTAGAGGCTCGAGGGTTGTCTGGACGGCTTTATCGAAACGAAAACCATCGATATCTAGACTAGCAATCTGAATACAAGAATGCTTAGTGATGACATCACGAATAGGCTTGTGCCATTCGCGCAGACGATCTTGCACGGAGGCAAACTTGGTAAGTTGGCGCTTCCAGTCAGGAAAGTTACCAAACGCCTCCAGTTCTCCAAACTGATCGAAGTCGCTATTGTAGCACCCTTTCAGCTCCTCGACACCACCTGATGTCAATGGAAAGCCAGTCTCATTCCAGAACTTCGGGAAGTTGCAAGTTTCATTGTACTCATTACCGAATTTGAAATCAGCGTACTGCCTATCTGAGATCCATTGGACTTCATATTCATGTGCTTGAAAATCGGCTGAATCGTTGAGATGGCCTTTGAAACCAATAAGGTTGCTCATTCTACATGATCCCGTCAAAACGTGTCGATCCGAGGCATCTGGGGCATCTACTTACGTTGCCAGTGTATTATCCATGATCACATACATATCTCGTTTGTGGATCTCGGTGATAGTTCGTCTCCAATCCTCAAGTGTGCCATGGTGCATGTCGAGCAAAGTGGTATCAACCGGTGAGTAGCCATCGTAGGCCCAAGGAAGATTCATCAAGTACGTTCCAGCGAAGTAGATACCCTATTATAGTAAGCACCAAGACACCAAGATGGAATCAGAACCGGTACAACACACCTTGAAACCCATGCCCCTAATATAATCTAGCGTATCAATTAACCCAACCAGATCGCCTCCATGGCGCATTTGATTCGAGCCCACCACATGCTCAAAGGCGGTGCCGTTAATGTCATCATTCTTCGGGTCACCGTTAGCGATGCGATCCAAAAAGATTGTGTAGATAGGGAAGCGCCAGTTGTCGGGCGACGGGTGGTATTCATGATCCGGCCATTCTCCCCAATAATCGATGGGCGCTTCCGCGGTTTTGTTTTCATTCAAGTTATAGTCAACGAGCGACTCGGTGTAAGGCCAGCTTAAGGCGGTAGTGCTCAGCAGGGATAGGATGATAATCGCTGAGCGCTGCATCACCGTGAGGAACATCCCGGCAGTGGCCTGCTACCGACAACTGCGCGACTCAAGCTCTCGATAATCGCAGACGGAATAATCCTACATGCCCTGGGCGTAGTCAAAAGCGAGGGAAAGAAAAACGAAGGAACGAGCGACCTGTCGACTCGAAAAAGCAGCTGCAAAACTTTTCGTAAAGAAGACTTGGAACTATCAGGCCGGGAAGGCTGGGGATAAAAATGGGCCAGGGACCTCTACTATGTACAATGGCCATTACGACTTCTACTATAGACCCACTCCTCGCCTGCTGATAGATGACATGGAACCATCCACTATCTACCTTTCACCCGTGGTGGGGTAGCGGTGTTTCTCACTTGATACCACATGTTTCCTATCCCAGTATGGTTTCTGCCCTAAAGGCCCACGGCTGAAATCACCGCCATGCTATTGCTGTATTCTGGTCGAAGCTGCAGTCCAAGCCACCAGTTCATTCTCTATCGCTGGGACGCGAACTTTTCATGATTGGGAGAGTCTTCCATATGGCGTGACGCCGCACGAGCACGAAGAAGCGGCGGCAACTTTGACGGTTTGCCATCCACCCCAGTCCCCGGTCCACAGGGTCCGGAAGAGGCGAGATGCGTCGTGCGCCCGATGGAGCCTGCTTGCTTAAGATTTTCTATTAAAGAAAAAAAAAAAAAAGAGATGAGGTAGCGCCAGCGGAGCCCGACAGTGTGTGAGGATGGCCATACTCGAACATGGTGCCGATCGATAGCGGGACCTGCCTATATTAAGAAACAACATGACATGATTGGGCGATATGATACCTTATCTGGAGTGGCCCTAGGCCTAAGACCCGAAACACGACCACTCTAAAGATCGAAAGAACCCTGGAATCAATGCACGGTGCTGCGAAGATTTGTGATGGCGATGCAGGTGGGGACTGGACATTCTTTTGGATGAACCAATACCACCCTTTCCAGTTGGTCCAACTCTCTGCCTTAGACAGAAGTCCGTATCAAACCACGGTGAGAAGAGCAAAAAGAAATTTTCTGCATTTTGTTCCTTGGGTTGCTCCGAATGGTGCTCTCTGAAACAAGCAACGGCTCGGTGTGGATCCGAGTCTTTGCACTCCCCACTTCCCATGCGTGATATGTATCTGGGTGGCGGCTGACACCCAACCTATGATATTGAAACATTACGATTCATGTCTTGCAAACTCTGCATCTGACGTAACCCTCAAAGTTGCGGGTCAGGACAGGTACATCTGGTGTACTCTGTACGATCGTGGATGAGATGTGGCCACAAGAGAGGCTGAGTATCGCGTCGTCCCTCTCGTATCGGACGCTGGCAATCACTGATACACAGTAATCCGTGATCTGCAAAGGTTCGGGTAGATGTCTACAGAGTGCTCTGTAGAGAAGTCTGATCGAAGATCAAGAGCCTCGAGCGGGTCAAGTTCAAGTGCTCAAAATTAGAAACCTCTCCACCGGCACGCGGTTGGCAGACTTTCGCTTCAAACAATCCCAGTCTGAAGCTCTGACAGAACCGACCGATCGTCAGGGTTGAATTCTCTGGCCCCGCCCTCTCAATTACCTAAATAAAATATAATCGAGTTTTGGTTGGCGTTGGCCATCACCATACTATCTCCCAGTTAAGTTGTCGAAATTAGAGGTGTTTTGGAGTAGACATAAACTTGCATTCGGAGCGTTTCGGGCGGAGAACAAGCCCTCTGCGTCCCCCACCGCTGGAAGTCTCGGCTTCTTGGCCCTGGGATTCGGTCAAGTTTTTTTTTTTTTTTTTTTTTTCTTTTTTTTTTTTTCCGGTCGGGGTCTTCCGTGTCTTCCATTATGACGTCATTTACTGGTATTCTAGAATTGATAGAATTTATGGAGACCTATCAAGGCTATGGTCTTTCTAAATTAAAAATATATCAAAAATATATTAAATGTTGAGACATTGTCCGTTGCCTTCGTACTGTGTGCTCTGCTGACTAAGTTGTGTTTACATTCTGCGATTCACGCGCCCGCCTAACTCGGTTGAATGGCGACAGACCAAATTCCATACTCCACGGAAACTGTAGTATCCTTAATCCATAATCATGTTGGCATTCTCAGATAGTCGTACAATTCTTGTATGCTATTGTTAACATGTAGCGGAATCGTGTCAGAAGTTAATCAATGTGGATATCGTAAGAGTATAGTACTGCTCTACAGAGTATCCAAGAGGGATATACATACTTGTGTCTGTCTCAGTATATATATACAACCAAGGCTTAGATCTCGATTTAGTATAGCACCACCAACACACCCGACTCCCAGCCTCTAAAAAAAAAAATAAAAACGAAAGAAACAGAAAGAAAAGTAAATTAATTCAGAGAGGATAAACCGTTAACCAGAGTTCCATAGCTTAGCATCGACTACCATTTCCACGGTCCCTATCCGCGCCCGTTGCGGCACGGTGCGGGTTCTGGAAAGGGGTTCTGGAAGGGGGTTCTGGAAGGGTGTACACGTTAACTGAGATAACTAGTGGAGCGGACCCTTCATGTCTAGAGTACATTCTCGGAGCAGCCTCCTCCCCAGTTCCAAGAGAACTGAAGCGCTAAAGTGATCATCCTGGGTATTCTTGCCGCTTTACAACTGTCTTTTGAGGTAGATCGGTTTGTTGGCGTGCGACAGCCGCTGGACCTGATGCTCCATCACTGATCGACATCCTCCCAATGCTCACGCCTTTGGCGAGGTTCAGCTTTCGATACAGTGTGCAGATGCTAGATCTTCCGGATTCCGGCATCCCAATGGTAGTTTCCCAAGTGAATACATTATGTTGAATGGATGATGCGGATATTGTCAAATGGAGAGCATGGAGCCTTTCAAGGGTGCAAGTACTACATAGAGGACTGCCTGTGATGTGATACACAGTGTGAAATCATGTGGATGCAGAACATTAGTTTCGCGGTATTTCGTTCGACCCTGGTAAGTTTCCAATGAGGGATGGGATGTTCCTGAGAGATCCCGATGGCCTCTATATTTAGACAGTGACGTGGGCAAATTGGGTACTGCGTACTGTTACTATATATTGTGAACGTTTTGTATGTTTCTATTTTAGCACGACAATCATGACGGGTGTACTCCGTACGTTTTTCGTACTTTGCCTAAGACACCTTCATATTATCTCTGTTCCTTTAAATCCAGACGACGAGGAAATTCACCCGAAAATGATGGACCCAAAGAAGGAAAAGCGAGGCGGAAAAGTCCGTTGATGCCTGAGGTGTGAACCGCCGCCGTGTCTTCGAGTTTTCATTACTCAGGAAATCCACCCACGGATCTTGAGTGCATCCAATCACCACCACTGTGGAAACAAAGGTCCACTGGACAGTCCAATAACATGCTAGATCGGTCTGGGGATTTCCGACTGGTGGAAATCCCTGGATATCCGATTTTGTGGACTTGGATCCGCTAAGCTTTCCCACTCTTTTTGCTACCGCCGCGGTTTGAATCAGTACTCCGATGCACGTTTCGGCCAGATATGCCGCTGCCAAATGACAGTCCAGTCTCCGATGTACTGGGAGCACCATCCCCATAACCCTTTCAACTGGCCGCGTTGGAAGAAATGGATGTCGATGCTAACGTCATGTTGGGTCACCTTCATTGTCGGGTTGAACGCCACGTCTATCACCACCGCAGCCGACGCAATATCCGCCGAATTCCATTTGGCCAATGGAATATTTGAATATAACTTTTTTGCTGTTACGGCATGGAACGCTGCGGCTGCATTTGTCCCACTAGTGACGCTCCCATTAATGGAGACTTATGGCATGAAGTTGGGCTTTTTGGTACCAAATTCTCTGTTCATACGTTTCAGCACCAAGTACTAATAGCATTGTAGGCAGCATATGGTCTCTTCACGATCTTTCTGATCCCACAGGCCTTGGCCCAAAATTTCGCCACGCTTGTTGTTTGCCGGGCTATGGCTGGCGCCTTCGGAGGAACGTTGCAAAATTGCGCAGATGGAATAGCGTCGAATCTATTCCTGCATCACCAAGAACGGGTCTTCCCTCTAACCTTGTATACATTCGCCTTGTTATTTGGGGTGACAATGGGGCCTGTTCTGGGTGCAGTTGCGGAGCCATTAGGGTGGCGATGGTAAGTAACATCCTTTGCCCAATAGGGAACTGCAGCTGAGCAGACAGGATATTCTGGATTGAGTTGATTATATACGGCGCGTTCACTCCGGTTGTTCTCTTTTGTATGAAGGAAACCCGAGGCCCATTACTTCGTGTGAAGCTGATGCCTGACGAGGCTTCGCCGGGGGTGTCAGACGATAGCGAGACCCTGGGAACGTTTAAGGAAACTATAGCCCGATCAGCTGTTCTTCTTGCAACCGAGCCAACCATTACCTCCTTTACATTGTGGTCCGCATTTGCGTTTGGCCTGGTCTTCATTTCCACCCAGTCAATCCCCCTCGTCTTCAGTGACACTTATGGCTGGCCATCGTACACCGATGGTGTAGTCCAGGCTGCCATAGGCATTGGTCAAGTCATTGGCCTCGTCGCATGCACTCTACAAAACCGAGTTTACACCCGAAGTGCTTCATACAACCCGGACAGCCTTGGAATCCCAATTCCTGAGTATATCCTGCATCTTTCCATTCCCAGCACAGCCTTTGCGCTAGCAGGTGGCCTCTTTATGTACGGTTGGGGTATATACCAGTCCCACTGGATCGTTCTGGCTGTGGCCCTGGCTCTGATCGGATATGCAAGTATGGTCATTGTCACCGCGGTTAGTATCTATATCACGGATTCCTATGCCGGCTATGCAGCCAGTGCTATCGCGGCTGTCGCATTCGGAGAGAACATCTTCGCAGCGTTCTTGCCATTAGCAGCTAAGCCAATGTATGTTCGGCTGGGCTATCAATGGGCGAGCAGTCTACTAGCTTTTGTGGCGCTGGCGCTGACTCTAGCACCGGTGGTCTTACTATGGAAGGGAAGAACTATCCGAGCGAAGAGCGTTGCAATCAAAAAGATGTCGCATTCCCATTTTTAAATATCATCTTCCACCACCGGACTCTTCTACCACCGGACTGATCGATCTAATGTATAAAAGGTCACATGCGGATGGCCTTCTGCCTGTTAAGCCAGTGACTGTTACTTCATTCTTCGCACTTCATGTAAATAGTTAAATCCCCAAAATAATCGGCCGGGTCTTTTAGTTGTGCCTGCGCATAATGTTTGATCATCCGACGCACGCGTCCAGAGTCAGGATCAGTGGTGAAGGGGCTAACAACGTATTAATACACTCTCTTCAAGCTGGGGAGTATCCAACCTACCATGTCCAACCGACCGTTCCATTCTTCTCTGTGCGCTTGACCCAGCATTTATCCTTCTCGGATGGAGTCACAGTGTTCCATATCATTGCAGCAGGCCAGTGAAGGTCGGCAACGATCTGTTTGACCGGGACATTGGGGCTCACGGAAAAGACTAGCGTGTGCTCATCAACTTGAAGGAATCCCTTTGGGTCTTCTAATGGGGTGATCCCGATGCTTCTGAGAAACTCCTGATCGACCTCGTCGTAAACTGGATCCTGCGCATAACACTTGATCTCCTGACTGTTGTTCAGGCCTCTCTTGGCCAACGACGCCGCCATCGTCTCTACCGCAGCATGTTGCGTATGGGCCCGCGTACAGTGGTAGCCGCACAGCCTTCCGAGGGAGCCAAGACCGAAGCAAACTATCTTCCGAATATTTGCCGTGGTCTTCAGAGTGGCCAGATGGTGTTCTAGATTTTGACGACCAGGACTCTCCAGCCATATCTGGCGCTGTCTGACAAACGCTCCCCGAATGGCCTCGAACGTACTTCCACTTGGGCCTGAGGAGCGCATGTACCCGATAGTGACCGGGGCATGATCGCTGCGTAGGACGAACTCCGGACAGAATGGAGTGGGACAGCTCAGGTAGTGGATGCTTTGGTAGTTGATCCGATAGGTGTTGCTATCTCTGTCGGTTAGCCTTCATGGCCTGAGTGGTGCACCGTGGCAGGGCTTACGCGAAATCCGTGCACCAATTGGGGACTTTAAGGCTGTAGACCTGGGGCACGTCATCGAAGTCTGGAATGCATACTTCCTCCTTCCCTTCGTCGATTTGGCGGCTGAGGTCTTCTAGCAGACGACGGGGGAAGAGGGGCTTTCCTGTCCGATATAACTGACTGATGTGTCTGAGCCTCTCTAGTATCTTGAGGGTGGTGTCCTCGTCCAGACCCAGCTCTTGAACTTTGTGGAAGTCGGCCATGGTCTGCCGCAGTTCACGCTTGGCGTGGTTGTTGGAACGGACAGAAAGGTGAAGCTAAGAGAAAGCGACCGAGGCAATGGCCAAATCCCGAGTGATGGTGATCAGCCGTCACTGGTGATGGTTGATTGATTATATAGTTAGCCCAGGTGAATACGACCCAAACCCTGCTTACAAGCCTATGCTTGACATCTCGACCCCATGATGGGTGAACTCCCGATTTCCAAAAGGTGAGGAGACCGTCGGACCAGTCCAACCAGTTAAACCTGATAGTGTTTATTTTCCCCTTCAGCTCGCATGTGTCTAATGGCATCGCATGGGCCTTCAGGCTGTGGCTCCAAAGACCCAACACGTTGGTACGCGTCTCAAGTGCTGATTGGATTGCAGGCCCACGAAAAGACTATTAATATTAGCCGCTGTTGGTCTATTTAATGGAAGTCGGCAATCCCAAATTAAAATATTACGTGAGTTGGATACTATATTCGGCAATTAATAGGATATTTTTATCCCCGACGCTAAGAGTTGTCTGCATACATTAATTAGGGGCCATTTCGGTCCGCCTACTAGTACATGCATCGTGCATATGGTTTGTTACTATATCGGAATCCCAACGCCAGAGTGATAGAACATCCTCACGACGAGGTATCCAAGACCACGTTTGCCATAGTGCCAACACTCCACCATGCTCCGATTGCTCTGTTGGTCTCTTCAGTTGCGGAGCCAGCGAATCCTCCGAATTCACCAACAGGCAACTACCCCCCGACCCTCTACGATTGACAGACCTGAACCTAATCCGGGATGCGTTGGCAGATGACAAACCGGGATACCCTCCTCCTGCCAGATAGCGCTTTTGGCAGTCCCTTCTGCAGGACAGCTTTCCGTAAGTGACAGTTACCGAGGAATCTTCACGTCAATGGCATCTGGCGACGATGTCACCATCCTGCATCCTACCTTAGCAGCCTCTAGGATGCCATTCCTGCACTGTTCATGGCCAACTATTATGCGCCTGCTCTGGTAGATTTGGCGTGCCAGGATCTGCCACCCGATGTCATGTATCGTACTAACGGGAATCCTTCGAACATTCCATTTCGCCCCCTTGCCCGCCAAGATGCAAGTCGCGTGCGCCAACCGCCTTCCTTCTGTCTTCCATCGTGGTTCCGCTGACAAAAGTAGGCCATACCGCTAGGTGCTCCGCCTATGAGAGAGGAGCCTTCCCCCACCCATTCAATGCTCAGCATGGATCTGCATGAGTGTACTCGATCCAGCAACCACTAAGATTGGACAGTCCTTGTCTAACTTCATTGCCACCCAACATTGACTAACGGGCTGGACCGCTGGAAACAACTTCCTTGACGATCCGTCGGCGGCACAGACAGCGTGGATAGGTACCGTCAGACGGCTACTGAAGCGTCATACGTGGGTCGTGAGTAAAGATACCATGTGGCTGATTTCGAGCTTCGTTAAGGGTTTCCATTTCGGGACCACTCTTGGCTATTTCTTCACTCCCTGGACCCCACGTAACACTGGCAACATAATATCAGAGGTATAGAGTCAGACCGGAGGATTTGGGGCCCTCCCTGATGGGATTGTCAGCGGCTGTAAAAGTCCAATCGTGCGCCTAGATGACGGCCCAGATAGGTTATGATTGCAAGGCCCCATCTGCTGGGCTTACGCCATTATTCTATTCGAAGTGGCATAGACCCACGTGGACGACTTAGACTATAGCCTGTAATAGTGAGACCATTAATCTCCCGAATATGCTCACATATCACTATGATACCTGGCACGAACGAATTGGGACTGGCGATGCTTTCCATCATCTTGGCGCAGCCGTTACGCTTTGTGGACCGTTGGTGGCTGGCCTGGTGACTGATGGAAACTACCTCGTCTGGGCTAGTGATGTGCGAAGGTGTCTCGAACGCCAGGGAAGAGAAAGTTTTATTGTTCATATGGGTGACATAGGGGTATTACGCAGGTGCGTTTCATGTACCTTCAGATTCTTCCCATTCTGTATCCGTGACATATGCTACTATCCTGCCTGGAGGTTCTGTGTATTAAAGCGAGGGAGGCATGTACCTACTAGGTATCTCATGTGGATTGTTGTAGGTACCTTACCTAAGAGGGCTTGATTGTCTAGTTGAACCGGGGCAAGTCAGCTACGGGACAACGCGGTCCTTTCATTGCGCGTTTAAAAGGAGACGTTAGAAGTCTCTGGAAAGAGCCAATGCAGTACATGGGCGCTGTGATAGTGCATGAAGAGCCCTTGGAGTTCAGTATATTGACTCCGAACCAAATTATGGATAGGGTTGGAATGGATATAGCGTGTCATTCCTCTGCACATGATTGTTTACTTGAATGTTTGATGCACCAAAGATGGCTACTACTAAGTAGCTAGGCTGACTGCATCTCCGCAGCGATTAGGCGCCTTCAGCATTGCCCAATGGACCGTTCATCAATCCTCCTGCGCAGTGTAGCGATCTGCTCAGGCCCAGCCCGACAACATCCACCCATTACCACACCCTCCCAGGCACCCTCAGGCAGTCCCCGTACCACATCCCAGTAGATCTCGTCCCACGGGCGTGTTTCTTTCCCCGTGTCCGTTGCGACCCATGTCTTCGTGACAGGGTCGTACTTCTCTCCATTAGTGCCATCGGGATACAACACCAGCCAGGGTCTTCCGGTCACGCTGTCCCACTCGTCGACGTAGCCCTTTGTTCCCAGCTCGTGCAGGTTACGCAACTCGTCCTGCATGATCGAGACGATCCGCCCAACATTCCCAATGCGGGTGCAATTGACTCCGATTCCCCATGGCCGGGGGAGATTGACGCCCGTCTCTCCCTCCGCTGTGCCAACAGCTGCACGTACCCATGCGCGCACATCCGCCTCATCGACCTCCTCCTCTGGAAAGACTCCACAAATCCACCATGGCTTCTTCCGTCCTACTGCCCATTGGCTCTTCTCCGGATTGGACCCCTGACCTTGATACATGTCTGCCAGCACATCCGACATGGCCCCACGGATGGCCCTCGCCTCATCGGCCCTCCTGACTGTCTCAAACGCAATGTATTCGAAGTTGTCCCACGAGCCCGTCTCGTCCACGAACACGCACAGTCGCCGAGCATGCCACTCGCGCAGCTTCGATTCTGAATTCATCTCGTCCGGGTATAGACCCGTATACTCCGCCCCGACAGGGGACATGGTCGCACCGTAAGGGCCCAGCGATAGTGCGACCTTCACCGTCCTCCCCGACGCCGATCCAGCGCGTCGCGCAAGCGGGATCGCTGAGCGCATATAGCGCGCTGCATCCTCGGGCGTGTAACGAGCGTTCGTAAGTGTGAATCCCTCAAAGCTCGTTTGATACGTAGCGGTTAGGACGATGTCGGCGCCGGCTGTCGCAAAGGCGTTGTGGACTTCTTCGAGAGTGGAGGGCGAGGAAATTAGCAGGTGAGCGGACCAGAGGGGCGTTTCGGCCGTGAAGGTGATGTTGTGGGGAGGGTCGCCGAGCGTGGTGCCGAGACCACCGTCGAGGAGGAGGATTGGGAGTGGTCTCGTCGTCATGTTATTTTTTTTTTTGGTGTCAGAGGAGATTTAGTTGTTGAGGGGGTGTGAGTGATTTCGCACGTCGGTTGATGGATCAGAGATGTGGGGTTTACTTGATGCCATTTCATTCATTTTCTCTTATCGATAACCACTTCCCGCATGCAGCAGCCATCGTGCCAAACAATCCATATGCTCCTCCTACTCCTACCTGGCCTGATTTACTACCAGGCAATCCATTTCTTCGCTTCTTCTAATCCGATATCCCTGACTTCGTCCACCAGAAATTGCATTCTTTCCGACTCCATTCGTCATCCACCATCTGCGCCGCAATTCCTACGCCACTTCCGCCGGCACGCTCATCATTTCCCTCGCCCAACACCATGATCCGACCTGAGGAAGATGCATCATACGTCTCCCAGATAGGACGGTCTCCATAGGCACCGCCGATGGTGTTCGGGTGCCCCGATACAATGAATGAGGTCAAGTACGCATGCAAGGTACCCGCCATATTCTCCTGGTTCTCGGAGATGGCACGCACCTCGGGGTTGAAAGTCTCATATGCCATTTGATCGCCATGGTTCGCGCCACCTTGCACCGTCTTATTGAGTGCCCAGCGATAGAGGAAGATCGGAGGCTCCTGACCCGCCGAGGCAAACTTCGCTGTCTGGCGCACCGGACAGGCGTACGCGTAGTGCCCGTATGCGGCCTCGACGCGTTTGTATTGAGGTCCGACCGATAGAACTCTTGTGTCGACATAGGGCGACGAGGCATCCTTGGCTGGATCGGGGTAGAGCTTGTCGATTGTATTGATGTCTGACGCGGAGTATGCGGGGAGGAGGGTTCGGAAGAACTCGGCGAACTCTTCTGACCGGGACATGGTTGGGGGCACGTAGTATGTTCCTTCGTTGGTGTTGAATCCCGTCAGGATCGGCATTTGGTTCCATTTGCCGGATTTCCAGGCGTCAATGGGTCGTTGCTTGATGAGGTCTCCGTCGATGACGGGTTGGAAGGCCCATCGCACGGAGGGATTGTAGCGGTCGAACACCGTGAAGGAGGCATTGGTGATGGCGGACTCGGGCTGGCTGCGTAGGCAGTCCATTACCTCCTGGCGAGGTGCATCCTTGCAGCCGGCCTCTTCGACAAAGTGACGGAATTGGTCCTCGTGGAGGCGAGCGTCGTAAGAATGGACCGCCCGGGAGGTTGCAGCGCCAGACTCGATTATGGCACGGTGGAAGAGGGTGTGACCGAGGTCATAGTTCATGATATGGTGCGCGATCTGACACTCAGCAGTTGCTTTCGAGGAAGAGGAAGAGGAGGGGACATACCGAATGGGCACCAGCAGAGAGTCCAAACAATGTCACCTGGGAGGGATCCCCTCCGAAGGCTTCGATATTATCCTGCACCCATTTGAATAAGAGGATCTGATCGTGCAGACCTAGGTTCAGGATACCCTCTTCGGCTGTTGTGGTGGAAGGGAGAAAGCCGAGGGCGCCAATCCTATCCTCGTTCAGTCATGGTGATCTGATTGCTGATAGCCATGGGGAGAGCTCACCGGTAATTAAAAGTAACTCCGATAAAGGGTTGCTCGGACCAACCAACCATCGAGGCCGTGTTATGCATGGACGCTATCATGGTTAGCTTCTCTGATTTGCCAGATTGCCAGATGCTTACATGTTCCCCGATTATACGCGCCGCCATGTACGTACACAGCGACGGGTAGTTTGCCATGGACGCCATGCGGTCGGAAAACGTTGACGGTCAGACAATCTTCGCTGTTTCCGCTGTCGCCTTTGATTGGTAGCAGTTGTTTGCCAGGGCATCTGTTTCGTTAGTTGGCCTCCTCGGTTCTTCGGACGATCCAGTTTCGTACCTTGGTCCAAATCGAGTCGTTTCTATGATACCCTCTGAAGGGCCAATTGGTTCAGCGCGACGAAACCGTCTCTCACCAATTGGCGGTAGTGCATATCGGATGCCCCGGAAAGCGTCGACGGGGTGCTTGAGTGTGTCTCGCACTGTGGTACCTACAACCGTTCCCTGGGGCAGTGTGATGCGAGGTCGACTATCGAGAATTACATTCTGTATTGAGACCGGAAGCCATGAGACGTATGGTTGAATCTGCGGTGAATTGGTTAATGGAAATGCCTTCTGCTGGAGAACGAGCCAAGCAAGGATAGGCAGCAGGGCCAAGCGAAACAGTCCGTGAATACTCGACATGATGGCTGAACAGAGACAACCCGACTTTTGCTATCGAATACACTTTCTTTATCAACGGCGCGGCGACCAGTTTTGAATGCCGAACAAGTGATTCCCCACATTTTCTCCGCTTTATCGATTGCGATATCCTCGTCTTTATCTCGGACGCAGCCCGAATGCCAAGCATGCTAGTCGTTGCTTCCCCCCCCCTCAATTGGCTCGAGATAGCGCCTATGATGCTCTCTAGCATTATGACAGCCGGCCAGTTCCCCGCGAAGGATGTCTTATCGCTGGTCCGGTGATCTATCGCAGGGTGCTGATATCCTCGCGTCTCTCGGTTTGACTTCGACCACGCCTGGAGCGGGAGGGGATTTCCGGTTTCGATGTCATTGTAGGAGAGATTACACCCATCGGGTGGCGTAGCTATCATGCGAGTCTATAAAACCTCCGCCGGAAGACAAGTCCAGTCCTGGCCCTGCGTATCCAGATAGCAATTGAATCAAGTCTTTAAACATGACATTCTTACCCAAACGCGACGAAACCAAAGAGAAAGCTATCATAGAAGCTACCGCTAAAGATGACGTGGAAATTGGCCAAATGGCCTCGCTGGACGAGGGCGAGCTATTCCTGCAAGAGCATGGTGTTACCAACACCCAACTACAAGAGTTGCTCAATGACTCGGAGAGATCCAGCAAGTTAAGAAGAAAGGTCGACTTGATGGTTCTTCCCCTGCTTTGTGGCACATACGTGCTACAGTACATCGACAAGCAGGTATGCTCCCTCGTACTGAATAGATGCTACCATGATAACATGTTAGCTAGGCCCTTGCGTATAGCGCTGTATTCGATCTGTTCACAGACGCCAACATTAACAGCAATCAGTATAGCTGGCTAGTCAGTATCTTCTACTTTGGTATGTTTCCAAAGCATAAGCAACAGTCCTGGTGAATATATACTAACTAACCTGTCAGGATACCTCTTCTGGGAATACCCGGCCAGTCATCTTGCCCAACGGCTGCCGACCGGAACCGTGATATCGTCATTCGTGTATGATACTTCCCTCCATGTTCTGTGCCAATGCTGATTGTATAGGCTTGCCTGGGGATCGATTTTGATGATCACGGCCTCCTGTAACAACTTCACCGGGTTGGGAATCACCCGTTTCTTCTTGGGCTGTTTCGAGGGTATGTTAACTACATGTCCAACTGCGACCTGATTCCTGTCTGACCTCACAGCCCCAATCACCCCATGCTTTATGATGATCGTTGGGATGTGGTATACACGCCAGGAACAGCCCTTCCGTGCGGGATGCTTCTACTGCTGCAATGGCGTTGGTTCCATGGTAAGACTATTCACACCATGTGGGCACAGATAGCTGACCAGATTAGCTCGGCGGGCTCATCACATTCGCCATCGGCCAAATCAAGACCTTCCCAGTCTGGCGAACAGTCTTCCTGATCTGCGGTGGAGTAACAGTGATCTGGGGAGGAATTCTGATGCTCTTCCTGCCCAACAGCGTGCTATCCGCAAAACGATTCTCTGTTGAAGAAAAGATACTGCTCGTGGGCAGAGGAAAGCAAAACCAGACAGTAAGCATCGCGTACCAAAACCTCAATGATCGAAGACTAAAATACACCAGGGAATCCTCAACCGCTCAGTGAAATGGTATCAAATCCGTGAAGCCTTCATCGACCCCCAAGTCTGGCTCCTATTCCTCTTCACTCTCCTCAACGAAACCATCAACGGCGGCACGGCAAATGTACACTACACCCCTCCCTCAATCAAATGAACCAAGTTCATACTAACACACACATAATACAGTTCGGGAAACTAATTATCAAAGGCCTCGTCTCAAGCCCCCTCCTAACAACAGCCCTCGGCATTCCCCAAGGCGCCTTCCAAGTCTTCTTCATCCTCTCCGGCGCCTACCTCTCCACCCGCTTCAAGAACATCCGCACCATAATCATGATGCTCTACCTCATCCCCACAATCATCGGAATCAGTCTCCTCTGGAAACTTCCCCGAACAAACCGCTACGGCGTCTTGTTCGGCTACTATATTGTCCGTTCCCCAGCCTTTCCCTTCCCAAAATAATACCAGATACAGATAAGTACTAACGAATAGAATAGCTCGGCTCCTACGTCTCCTCCCTCGTCCTCTCCCTGCAGATGCCCTCCAGTAACATGGGCGGCTACACCAAACGCGTAACAGCCACCGCCTTCGTCTTCCTCGCCTACTGCATCGGGAATATCATCGGTCCGCACGCTTTTCTCGCCAAGGAGGCACCGATCTACCAAACAGGGTGCAAATTGGTTCTGGCCTGTGCCTTGTGTCAGGTAGCCTGTGCGGCCTGTTTAAGGGTTCTCTTGGTTAGGAGGAATAAGAGGAGGGAGGAGCAAATGCGATCGGATCCTGCTGGGCAGGTAGCAGATGGAGATGTCATGGCTGATTTGACGGATTTTGAGGTATGTACTCTTTTTCCTTTCTTCTCGTTCTTGGTTGAGTGAGCTGCTGATTGGTGGGTTGGTAGAATCCGAGGTTTCGGTACGTTCTGTGAATGGCCTATATGTGGTGGAATCTGTAGTTATGCTTGGGTAAATAATACAGTTATCTTTATAATTACTCTCGGTATAGTAGAGAAGAAGTATCTATTGGCCGTCTAAATCATCTGATATGTACACGGGCGACACATAACAAACAACCAGGAAGAAGAAAAAGTACACAAAGAAACCAACTCAGAAGTAGAAGAGAAGAAAGTATCAAACAAATTCTAAAACCATGTGCAATCATTCTCCAATAAATTTAACCGTCATATCGTTGTTCCCGGTCACCTCAGTTTGAGTCAGCACTTTATTGTTCTGCTTCAGCTCAATAATCTCTCCCCCATCCAATCCATACGTAGCCTTCCCGGCTTGAGCCTGCGCACCGCTGAACTTGACCTCCCCGAAGTTCGCCATGACAACCATGGAATCGCCAGACTGGAAGTCCTCCACGATCCACTCCGCATTCTGGCCCGCCAGCGTCGCCGTCGGCGCAGGAGCAGTCACAGCCTGCGATACCGTCTGGCCCGTGGATTTATTCTCGATGATCGCGATACCCTCACTCGGGGAAGTAGCCCGAACGGTCGAGACAATCGTATCGCCTTCGTTCACGTCGATGCCCGGGAAGTTGGTCGCATAGGCCGGGTACCATTCGAACCAGGCGTGATTTTCTTGATTGGGGTCGGAGTAGAAGTCCACGCCGGCTTGCAGGATAGCCCCCGCGTAGGTGTCGCCGTCGATGCCGACCCAGACGGAACCGGCCTGTACTCCATTTTGGTTGGCGACGTCCGTCGACGTGGGGATTGTGAATGTGGCGGTGACGGCCGTGTAGGGGCCTTCGGGAGGTGCTTGCTCGCGCACCACTCCGGCCCAGTTGTTGCTGTATTGGACGGAGGCGCCGGCTACCCGCGCTTCGGAGTCCGTGGCGGAGCTTGGCCTTGTAACGGGAGGGTTAGGTGATCCAGCGATCGGTGGCGCATGCGTTGGGCGAGAGTGCTGCCCGGGGCGGCGAGGGCTCCGCTGATGAGGGCGGCGGTCAGATAGGCGTATGTGGGCTTCATGGTGTATGGTGAGGTCGTTTGATCAAGGGGAGATGATTGTTTCGTGCGTAGGAGCTGTGGATAAACAAGTTACTGGACAGAGAAGCCCGGTACAAAGAGCTAGTCTTATAGCTGGGTACTTTGGGATGATTTCGGCCGGATTGGGCAATCTGGGCCGCTGGATTATCTCCTGATCTCGAACTGCACGAGGCATAGCCATCGGATCGGGTTGTGGGGAATTATGGCACATGGGGGTTTCGCATCTGTCGCTTCAGCTTCCCGTGTGCCTGCTTTAGGCAAGTTTGCAGCGGCCGAGACTATGTGCCAGGCAAACAAACATTAAGAAATTAAGCATAGATCAGCCACCTGATCTACGCGGCTCGGGTTTCGTTGGTCGAGTTCGATCCGAGCAGTGTAGATCCTCATCTATTGGCGCAATTATTCCTTATGGATGTGGCCTGGGACATGATTCTGGACGATCATTGCTTGCCAATAGGCATCACAGTTGCCGCCAACGGAAGCGTATTGGCAGCATCGAACTTAAATCCTGTCATAGAGGTGTAGGGAGAGCTCAAGCGAAGCCACGCCGAGTCTGACACATACGGCTTCAGGGCCCAGGCATGTCAGCACGCAATGAAATATCAAGTGAAAGTGACGCAATGTTGTGTACACGTCCAATCACTGGGAAGGCACAAAGCTGTTATTATTAGCAGCGACACATTTGGAGAATGCCATTCGCTCGGTAACAAGTCGGACGGACAATGAGGGATAGTGCGCATTCCTCAGCTCCGCATTCCAGCCACTGGTGTGCCCATGACGCTAGTATCAACGAACTCGCCAGCTGGAATGCCCCTTGTCCGCGTGGTTACCGCAAGCAATGATCCGCTGGCTGGAGACGGTTAAATCCACGCGTCCCCAGACTCCCTCTCTCTTTGGTACGGACCTTGCCGCGGGTGGTCGGCTTACTATCCCAACTTGTGTGATCAGGGTTTGGAAGAGTTGCTCTAAAGAAGGTTCGGTAAAATAATGTTTGTCGTCATACTCCCACGTAAACGGTGTAGGTTTCGCGGTAGGTTTATAAAAGCCAGGTCAGTCTGCCAAGGCGCCGAGGAAGGGCTCTTGACCACGCTGGCGACATGCATGACGGCTGGAAGCAGTAAGCAAGATCCACCGTCTTATGAGCGAAGAGCACATGCCCCACAATGAGGATTTCCAAAGAAGCGCGAGCTAAACAACTAAATGGCAAACCACCGTGGATGCCGGAACAGTGATCCCGTGACATCCATGATTGCCCTCCAACGCCGCCATCTGATTACATAGGAAGCGTGCGCATCTCCTCCAATGTCCAATACTTTCGCATATTCTCCGCGCCAAGGGTCCGAACCTCTTCATCCAGATGCGTCCACAAAACTTCCCCAAAAGCGTCCATTAGTCGTTTCACCTCTGTCAGTTCAAGGTCTTCCTCTCCGGACCGGCATTTCTCTAAGTACTGTTCAAGTTCGTCCAATCCACGGTGTATCTTCTTATGTTGTGCCAATAGCGTCTTCTTCTGTCGGAACTCTGGCATCTTGCGAGCTAACACAGGGAACACATGCTCTTCTTCAATACTGTGGTGGAAGTCAAGCTGAGAGCAGAACTGCAGTCCCGTAAGTATCAGTTGCCTGGGCTTGAGTCCACCAGGCCGCTTCCCATTGGTATCACATGCGTTCTGGAGATCCTTCCAAGATAGGCGAAAGTGGTTATGCTGGTGCCGTTAGTAACGATCGGCCATTATTGTTTGATAAAGAACTCAGTTTCTATTAACAGGCACGGAAGGACACATACAAATTGGTCCATCTGTGCCGCCATTCGATTATACACGCCAAAGTCTTTTACGGACAGAGGTGGTAACTTCTGTTCTTCACTCCCACCCTCACTGGGGGCCGCAGCAGACTCGTTCTTTTGGGTCATTGTTGTCGTATGCAGGCGGGGTGAAGACGAAGATAAGCGACGGACTGCAGGTACTGCTCTGACAGCTTTCCAGATCGGGCTCGGGAGACGTAGGAGCATTTGACAAATTTAAGAGACCACCAGCCCTGGTTGAAAGAGACCCAAATCAGAGAACAATTGTTTTAGAGAATGATACTAAGCAAAACGCAGATTATAGTCAGCATTAGAAATCCATTGCCGAAGCCTCAAACAAATCAGGAATCGGCAATTTGTCCGCAGACGCTAACTTGATTTAGCTCGCCGCCGTCCACCTCGGGACTAGCGTGCACCGTGCGCAAAGGCAAGTCGGAGGAAATCCCGTGATTCGTTCCAGACACCCACTTCGGCAGGTGACATCACCGATCAGTGAGTCGCGTTAGGGTTGAATTAGTAGTTAGTGATTCAACTTTGGATTATTAATTCAATGGGAAAAGCTAGAGATATGAAAAGGCTCCTCGCTTATTGTAGTTGTGGGAAATCGTTTAGGAAACGAGTTTCACAAAATCTTCTCGTTCTATACTAGGCTATATCTATCTCACCTTCATCAAAATGTCGTTGCGCGGGAAAAATGTGGTTCTTGTATGTCGATTCTGCGTATGACAAAAAATGTTGCCTCATGCTAAGGATAATTAGACAGGTGCCTCCATGGGCATTGGGGAAGCCATCGCTTCTGCTCTGGCTGAGGCTGGGGCAAATGTGATCCTGTTCTCGCGCTCTGAGGTAAATCATTAATATTCCAGACCTCAGGCAGGCCAGCTAACGTTATGCATGCAGAGCAAGCTGGCACAGCTTAAAGAAAAGCTGTCGGCAACATCTGAAGTGAAAGTCACATACAGAACTGTGGACGTTGGGGATTATGCCAGCGTCGAAGCAGCGGTGTCCTCTGCAAGTGCAGAGATGGGCGATATCGATGTTCTCATCAACAACGTGAGTTCCCAAGGCCCACTTCATATTGAACCGCTATGTAACACGGATCGTACAGGCGGGTCTTGCCCTTGGTGCTCCGAGCCCATTCCCAGAGTTGAAAGTCTCAGACATCGTAACGATGAACAACACCAACATCAATGGGTACATGTTCATGGCTCATGCTGTACTGAACCACTCAATGCTCCGGCGGAAAACAGGGACGATTTTAAACATTACCTCGGTCACAGGCTTGGAGGTCCCGCCATTTCCAGGCGAAGCCGTATATCATGCCAACAAGGCGTGCCAAGAGGCGTTTACAAACGCTTTGCGGAATGAGCTGAGCGGCACAGATATACGCGTGCTCGCACTGCGACCGGGATGTGTCGCGACAAATTTCCATTCGTTGCGTGTGGGTCATGACAAGGAGATGTATGATTCATTCTTTGAAGGATTTGAGTATGTGTTAGCTCCTATCGGTTGTTTTGGGGCGGTACTTACTCGAATATGACTAGGCCACTCGTTGCTCCAGACATTGCACAGGCAGCCGTCTATATGCTCCAACAGCCACCGAATCTATCCGTAAAGGCCTTGGATATTGTCCCTTCAGGTACGTTCTTGACATCATATCGACAATCTATTGATTTCTTGGGGATCTAATGTTGCTATACAGCACAACGCTCGTTGAATGTTTTTGACCGATCGTGGAACGAGCGGAGAAACGGCCAATGAATAGAGGATGGTAGATAAATACCAACCTTCACAAATATATAGAATTCCTCGACTGAAGACAAAATACGATCACGAGCTAGTATCGAACGTATGCGCGAAATAAATCATAATTGTATAAATCCTCCATAGTATTTGGTTATTTAGCGAGACCATTGAAGGCAAAATCATTGAGATTGGGAGGTGTTATCTGAACCAGGAAACCCAAGTCCTCGCCTTCTGAGAAGTAAAAGGGCAGTGTAGTCAGACAGCTAATCCTGCATGAAGACTTGGTCTTGGCAATGGGCCACTGTTTCACATATTCCCAGTCCAATCTGATTGCCTGTCATATGTTGGGGGGACCCACCTGGTCCATCATCCGGCGACTCCGCCTCATTAAGGAGTTGACTCTCTGTATGGAGTAGGGTTGTGCTTCTCACATGGGCTTATCTTCTGCGTCACGATGCCGCCTCGAAGATCCCATAAGAAGTCACGCACTGGCTGTCTACAGTGTAAAAAGAGACGAGTAAAGGTGAGCCAAATCTCGGTAATTCATTCTAGTTCAACTGTTTCATCTTCACGTTCAAATTCTCTTTCTTCATGTTTGTTCATGTGGCATTCTCTGTGCCTTTATTTTTCGTTTCCCAAGGGGCTTCACAACCTCGGCAGTAACACTCCACATTAACATGGAGTAATTGATGATGCGTATCACATTGAATTCGAACTACGACCGTCACCTTAGGTTGTATCGAAACAGAATAACTGCTATATGGGGTTGAAATGCCGAATCTGTTGCACATAACATCGATACCAATGTCGTGTATCTGAGCCCTATCTAACAACCCCCCCGTAGTGTGACGAGCGAGGCCCCCCTTGCAAAAACTGCACCACGCGGGGGATAGAATGCGCCTATTCCAGCACACCCGCTGTGGCTCGCCTGCCCGACACATTGTCAGCGAGCCCTAGCTCTCCGCAGGTGTCTCTAAGCCCAAACGACATACCCAGTCAATCACCGACAGTCACTACACACTATGATCTACGCTCATTAGAGCTGATGCACAAATTCTCAACGGAGACCTATTATAGTCTGTCCAGCGATGCATTGCACCACCGTGTTTGGCAGACCACCATGCCTCGCAAGGCACTGGAATATGACTTCCTCTTAGACGGCATCCTGTCAATTGCATCATTGCACACGGCTGCCACTAAAGGACCCCTAGAAGCACGCTCCTACATCGACACGGCACTGGAATACCAAAACCGAGCATTGACGCCCTTCCGACATGCTCTTAACAACATCTCGCCGGCGAACTGTGACGCCATCTATGCCTACTCGCTTATCACCATCGCGAGTCGTATAGCAATGCCCCATCTAGCCATTGGAGATAATGAAGGCCCGAACATGATTGAAAATATTCTGCACGTCTTCGAGTTACTCCAAGGTACCACTGAGATCTCAAAGATGACTCGTGCATGGTCGGCGCAGAGCTCTTTCCCCACAGCTGGGGATTACTGGGCCCCAGCAGCCAAGCGTCTGGATAGCGAAACCGAAGAGGCCTTCACCCGTTTAACCGCGATAAACAACCAAAAGAATAGCACTCTGCCCGAGGCGCATCGTATTACGGACGAGGCGATAGACCTGCTACGACGCTGCTTTTGCCGGTACAGCACGACGAAAGATCCCGGCTCGGTCGTTACTTGGTTAGCGGTGGTGAACAGGCGATTTGTTGATACGCTCAGGGGTCTTGAGCCTCTTTCGTTGCTTATTTTGGGGCACTGGGGGGTTTTGCTCGGTCAGCTTGATGGGAAGATATGGTGGGCTTCGAACTCGGGCAGAGCGTTGGTCACCGATATCTTGGGTGTTGGTGGGAGGGGTGATGTTGAGTATGGGGACGCTTGGATGTGGCCGAAGAGGCAGTTGTGTTTATGATGATGTTTTAGGGTATAGATTTCACATTGGAGGATTGCGACTGTTCCAATGGCTTGTTTATGGTCGTTTATAGGTCATTTCGTCTGTTCGTGGAGCCATACATTGCCCTGTCTCTGAGGTTCCCCAAGTTTGGGGTGTAACTTAAGAGGGGGTGATCTTGGCCATACGGATGGTAGTACATAATCATCGTGGACATAATCACATTCGAAGAGTATATAGAATAACAGCATTTGCAAATATTACCAGATATCCATAGCTACTCTCCCATTAAGTAGTATATTGCCTGTGGTTCGGACATTGCAAGGGCTTCATGACGCGGTAGTTGAAGTACTGTTGCCACAAGCCAACGTTGACACAATACCTTACTGCGAAAGAAAGCATTAGGAGTTTAATAAGGACAAAAAGACAAGGAGAAGACAAGCAAGAATGAACACCACCCAAAGATATAAACTCCATCGGCAAAGCCGATATCGTCGGTAAGCTGCCGATACCATCGGTACGCCCCCGATGAACTCTACAATGCATATAAGATTCCACCATTCTTGTGCTCGTAATTGTCTATCACTTAAGTCTCCACTGAACTGCCACCGTTAGCACTGTTTCAACTTGACACAAGAGATGAGGCTGTGTCGCCCTTACATCAGCTCGGCGTGAAACCCGGCAGTGCAAAGTCTTATAGTACAATTTCTTCCAGTTGCTTGGGAACGAAATCTGCTCTAACACACCAAGAACCAATTGGCCAATGATGTTTTGTTTCCTGCAGTGACGGGATGTTCAACCCACCCAGGCCACTTGGGGTAGTGGTTCTGACCAGCGACGTCCGTTGCACAGATGATAATCCCAATATCTATCCAGGGGGGATTGACCATCGCGAATCAAGAGGATCAGCAGGACCAAATAATCATGTTTTCTCAACCAGAAAATCCACGAGGACTGTGATAGGTGATGAAAATGCAGGCTTAGAAGCGTCTACTCCGCATAGCCGTAGGGATCTCGACAAGGATGGTCAGGCACGACACCGACTAGACCCGCCAAGCAGGATGTGCAACGAACGTATCCATTGTTTAGCGCTGTAGGACTGGAAGCCCAAGCACGAGAAGCTTTTTAGGCACGCTGTCAGTGGACTTATATGGACTAGCTATATCCGGGGAAACAGTCGAAGGGTTCCTCGCCGTTCGGAAAGCAAGGCACTTGGGGAATCGGAGGGCGGGGAGAACCACCAACCGTTGGATACGCGATCAGCACTAAGAATACCTCGTCTGGATGGCTGGTGTGGGGGCCGAAATGGAGCCCTACATGGGAGGAAGAGGAAGAGGACCTTCAAGCAGTTTCCATTATCTAAAAACATACTATCCTAGCCGCATTAGGTCTTAGCAAGTGGGCATAAGGAACGCCCAAGATACCGATTGGATCTACTCCTCTATTGTGGTCTGGGATAGCCGGGGAGAGATCGTGTTCTCATGATTCTTGTCTGACAATCTCGTTAGCCTGAAATGAATGTGGAGCGCTATGATTCAAGGCGAGCCAGTCAAGCACTCGATCAGCCCCTCCATGTTTGCGACGACCAAGAGGCCAAGAGCGTCGGTCGTTGGGGTCGACCTTCTGAATGGCCCCAGAATGATGGCTGCCTGCAATGAACCGCGCAAGACCCCTGTCTTTCATTTCCACTGGCCCGATCGACAGCGTACAGACCGTGTCAAAATTCTCAGTCTCACGAGAATGGAACGGGCCGACAGCTAGTCCTATGTATCGATCAATTACAAGGCTGTATTCTCCGTGGTTACATAGTCTGTGCCCTAATGTATCTACTCTACTGGATCAGGAAACGTTGAACACTAGGGTGCAATCCTACAGGGTCTCACTAAGCAAGTGCACTGCCTTCCCAGAAACATACATTAAGCTCTGCAGGAAGAGCTGGTCAACTTTTAATTCAGGGTTCAGGATGTAAAAAGAGGGCTTTCTCGTTCTTGTTTAATGTCCCCGCCTTCGTTACCATCAAAATGTGGTCATACTTTTGGAGTATTGCACTCACCGTTTGGCTGACGCTGGGACGACTTACCGCAGGTATTCAGCTTGATATCAATGATCCTGGTATTTCCGCTTCTGTTCGATGGAACGTTGATTCTGCAACTCTAACACTGGATAGAATCGATCAAAGATGCCGCCGCAACAGCCGCCTACGGTATGATGACCTATTATCATGGCAACGAATCCGGTCAAATTCCAGGGAAGCTTCCGGGCACATGGTGGACGGGCGGCGAGGTATTCATGGCCCTGGTGCAGTACTGGTACTGGACCGGAGACACATCATACAACGATGTTACCAAGCAGGCTTTGATTTGGCAAAAGGGCCACAATGACTACCTCCCGGACAACTATACCCAGGATTTGGGCAACGACGATCAGGTATTCTGGGGTCTCGCCGCGATGACTGCCGCCGAGCTGAACTTCCCCGAGGATGAGGAAGTGTCATGGCTTGCACTTGCCCAGGGCGTGTTCAACACTCAGGCTGAGAAGTGGGACCCGGATACCTGCCATGGTGGCCTGCGGTGGCAGAGAAACTCGTGGAACGGAGGCTACGATTTAAAGAATTCAGTCTCCAACGGAGGGTTCTTCCAGCTCGCGGCCCGCCTGGCGCGATATACCAAAAACGAAACCTACACAGAATGGGCAGAGAAGGCATTCACCTGGGCCACGTCTGTTCCTTTGATCATCGAGAAAGGGTGGACGATAAACGATCTGGTTACGGTGGAATCGAATTGCCAGGCAGCGAACCAGATGCAATGGTCTTACAATTATGGAATCTACTTTAATGGTGCTGCATACATGTATAATTTGGTACGGATGGCCAGCGATACTCAACCCCTGGGTAGTCTATTAGTATGACCTTCGAATGCAGGCTGACATATTGCGCAGACGAATGGTGACACGAAATGGCAAAATGTGGTGGAAGGCTTGCTGAATACTACATGGCGCAATTTCTTCCCACAGGAGTACGGGGGCAACATCATGGTTGAGCCATGCGAGCCGCAAAAACCGGGAGTGGTAGAGTGCGATGGCAACCAGTCCACATTCAAGAGTTTAGTCACCGCTTGGCTCGCCTTTACGACGACTGTCATGCCCAACACCCTGGACCAGATCCTGCCCAAATTACAGGCTCCGCCGAGGGAGCAGCAAAACAGTGTTCCGGGCCCTCCCCGGACAAGATCTGTGGACAGCGATGGTTCCTTGATAAATATGATGGTGTCACCGGCCTCCGTGAGCATATGTGTGCGTTGAGCGTTTTCACCGCGAATATGGTGCCATTCAAAACCGGAAACCGTGATCAAGGTCCATTGACGGCGGACACTGGAGGAACTAGTAAAGGTGATCCGAGTGCAGGCACGGGGGATCACAAGCCGGAGAAGGACGAGCCGCGAGAGATAACAACAGGGGATCGTGTGGGTGCCAGCATTGCGACTGTGGCCGTTGTAGGTATATGGCTTGGAATAGTAGCCTTTATGATGACCGGGAGTTGAATTGGACATACCAATGGCGTGCTATGCCGTGGACCCTAATCATCAATTCCAAATGCAGAGCAATGGAAGAGCAGCCGAAATTGAGGTGACGGTTCTGCGCATGCTCTCCTAGTCTGTACAAATAAGAGACTGAATGACAATAGTTCTTGATCATGACTATTCTGTCTTTCTCAGACCGATGGAGACCGCAGCTCCTGGGACGTATGACCTCCATACGATACCATAATCTGATATTCGGATGAAGTTTCCAGCCACAAATTCGTATTATACAAGTATAGTCAATATGACATTGTCAATTCCTCGTTGTTTATGCCTACCTGCTCCGTTGCCCATTGTATAGCTTCGGACCACTCATTGATCTGTGCGAGCTCCTTTGCTAAATCCCCTACAATCCTCCTTCCTGACAGCGTTGCCCACCATGCATCCTTCAATCGGCTAAGCAAAACACCCCAATACATATACACCAATAAGGCCATGGGCTCCTCTTGTTGTATGAGATCCACGAAATCCTCCCCAACAACCACGATCCACGGAATGGCCATTGTTTCGCCTTTCACAAAGCAATTCCCCAGGAGTGTGATGGCACGGCCAAGGATGTTCCGTATAGCCGGATGTCCATGGGAACAAAGTTTTCGCAACTTATCAATGGCCTCGCTATCTTGCTGGCCTGACTCCCAGTCATCATCAGCATGGGTTATGATTGCAAATCGAAAGGGCCCCTTGGCCAGCCACGGCCGGGATTTATCAATGACGGAATGTATCCCCTTAACAAAATGAAATGGAGAAGTTAGGTTTCCTATCGTATTCCCACGACTGCTTCCGACGAAGGGAGCTATAACAGCGCAAGCCATCATGATCACCGAGCATGCGAAAAGAGCATGGCAATTCGACTCTGAGATGTTTTCTAGTGCGGCACAAAAAGCCGGAACGACACTATTCTGGTAGCGAAGTGCGTCATCAATGTATTCCGAGACAGTGGCTGAGCTTAGGGGGCCATGGTTATTATTCGTATTGTTGTTATTACTGTCGGTGGTTTCAATGGCTATGTGTAGTGACGTCAGTGCCAGCAGTGAGTCCATGAGAAACGGATGATGGAAAGCCTGTTCCACCACGAAGGATTGGAAGATGTCGCTGAGGTTGGAGGAAAAGCTGTGGCGGGTTTTCATGGACCAGACATGTATCAACTGGAGCTCTCTCATGCGGCCCCGTGGTACTATAGGCGTTGTACTACGCGGTGCCTCGGATGCCAACGGCTGGTCTGTTCGAGGTTCATCTAATCTTGTCGACTGGTCTTTTTGGTATGTTGGCGACATACGAGGGTTTTGGCATTGTTCGCTCCATTCTGAATGTCGAAACAGTCCCCCAGTGGAATACCGACAATCGGCCTTTCGAGCGGCGCAGTGACCGCATGGAGGGCCGGCTTCATCGCATTTGATTCTGCGTCTTTTGCATCGTTCGCAGCCGTGGCGGGACTTATTATGAGTCCGTCTGAGCGGCATAGCAACTAGGCGCGTGGCGGACAATGATCGCTGTGGAGTCAATCTCAGGGAGAGTTGGTGGAGAAGTTCGCTGAGTTAGCGGGTACAAAATTGGCTTCAGTTCTTGGCATATATATTTTAAATGGTAGTATCAAGGTAACGGTGATTTCCATAGTATACAAACCTGCGATAATATCCAGATTCCCTATACTTATAGTGTAGATACAAGGATATGGAGAAAAGTGTAAGCCATGCTGGGTAGTAAAAGAAAGGATAGGCATCCGCTAACGGGAGCCACGCTCAATGAGTTGACGAGTGCAAGGGAGCGAATCACGGCTAGATACTCAAGTCCCCCTCAGAGGTAGCTTATTTGAGTAGTTGATGTCCATTTCTCTCTCCTCTATGGCGTTTGTGGTAGGCTAGTATGAGCTAATTGTAAAGGCGGACGTCTAAGATATTGTTATCGGTGTCACAAACATAGCACGAGATAAGTACGAGATATTTCTGCTTACATCCTATTTTTTGGGTATTGTTAATGCAGAACGTTAAAGGCAAGTATAAATACATCATTTGGGTTGTCGTATCGGGCCAGGTGCATTCCTCCTGGTTCGCTGCTCAGATTGAGGGATTATCTGGCAAATACCGCGATTACTCCTGGCCAAATATCGTTTAAGGAGTCAGTTTTGTACTGCATACTGTGAATGAAGGCTTGGTCTGGTAGACGGGGTTCATAATACATTCTAGAATCTGATCGAGCACGCTCTACCGCTTCCAATGAATGGTTAATTACAGATATAAGGCGCCTTACCAAGCCATTGTTCTTGAGTAATTTCATCTAGAGCCCACACCGCAACGCTCGCCCGACTGATCCATGTGCCATCATCACCGCTTCCCAGGGACGTCGCCTTGACCGGTGCCTCTTCTCCATCTGTCAGCCCACCAACTCGAAACAAAGTCCACTGCACAGGCCTGCCGACAGGCAGCGACGCTATATACTCCCCTACCCCGACCATCTCTCGATACTGACCATCGCTAAATAGCCTCATGAACCATGCACCCAGCCGCCATTTGAATGTTATGGTGTCCGAGGGGTCATGGTAGGACGGGGTGCAGAGTATGAGGATGCGCTTGAACTGCCGGTCCACTAGCTTTGGAACTAGAGCTTTATATCCCAATGTGAGAGGCTACATGGATGATCAACAGACTGCTTTACTTGTACGCTCAATAGAATATCTCACCGTGCCCTTCGTTCCGATCGGGGGTCCAGCGAACGACACAAAGATGCTGGCACCACAGCTCGCAGCACTGTCTAGGGTGGTTTCGTCTTCTAGAACGCCTTCGATGACCTCCACATCTGTATTGTGAACGAGGTTTGTTGGGAGGTTACTGGGATTGCGAACTAGTAGACTTAGACGATGCCCTTTGTTCAGCGCCAGGGTGCAGAATTTGCTTCCAATGGCTCCTATGTATCTCAAGTCAGACTTTGGCCTGTTCAAAGAATAGCTATCAGTTAGAGAAGGGTACCTGTAGCTCCTAGCACAAGGAAATGCATGTTTTCGCTATATTGAACAAGATGCGGATGGGCAGATGGACAGCGTGCCAAAGAAATTCAATAGATTGAGAAGAGATATGTAATGCTTTCAGGACTGGCCTGAGGGGAATTGACAAGCATATTCTATTGATGCGAGGTCTTCATTTATAGGCATTTTTCTAGTTAGGTCTTTGCATGGCTATGATACCGAAAATGGAAATGAATACGCTGTGGGGCAACCCCGAATAGGAAAGTCTTACGCAGGGTCCCAATTTCGACTATGAATTGCACGAGATATGCTCTGCGTTATCTCAACAGGCTCAAACTCTCTACAAGAAAAAGTCTATATCATCTAACGTAGAATTATACAAATATCTCTATCAATAATATATAGACCTCCCCTCTTTCTTGTAGAGCGTGACGATAGAAGGCTTTAGGTAACGAATAATGATGATAAGAACTCCGACAATGTTTCTTTAATAACTACCCAATTATTAGCTAGATTGGTATCATAGTAATCAAGTAATATGTTAGTCATTCTTAGCGATTATTGATGATAATAAATCTAGTTTTATAATCTAGGTTCTATTTTTTGGAGGATGTATACAAATCGATGTCTATTCTCAAGCCATAGCAGCAGAATCGGAATTATATGTGTATTACCAGTAAATATAGCTTCAACTGCGTCGGACCTTCTCAGTCTGTGAAGTTTCGAATCTCTATCTACTCTTAATAAGGCGGATACTAGCGGCATTGGTCTTCGTTTACTGTCTTTTATCCTGTCTGCGACGTTGTGCTTCGCGCGTCTCCAACCGATATGAAGGGCTAATCGATGAATCCTCGCCCTGATTACATCCCTGAGTAGATTATTACTTACCGGTATATACGGGAACTCCAGTAGAATGCGCATTTCTACGTCGTGGAGAAAACCTCTTTCAACTGTGTCTATGCTTGCCGATGATCGCTTGCTCTCTAGAGAGAGGCCGATGCCGCTAAATATCGGAAAATAATTCCAGCAGGGACACTTGTCAGTGGGAGTATGAATTTTCCGAGGATGTTTCAGTCCGGCCAATATTGTTAAATCTGACAATTGGGATCTCTGTTGCCACCCATGATATCGTTGGATGACGCTCTTAATTGTAGATTCAGGACACTGCATATACAGCCTTCTTCGTTTCTGAATTTTGTGGGATTAAGATGTGCTCCTACTGGATACGGAGAATGTTTAAGTGAAGTATTAATGTATCTTCATTATTCCCAAAAAGAATCCAAGTCCTGTCCAAAAAAGACTCTGCCTGGGGCCAAGGCTATTCATTGGAACCCCGGATGATTGATCGAATTAATCGGGTCATCTATGCGCCGGCGCTTCGACGACTGATCCACGGCTGTGCGGAGGAGGTATTCATTCGGGTAATACTGCGGACGGACAGGGTGGTTGCCGTCATAGCTTGTTGCAAAATTACTTGAGTGGTATGGGCTGGAGCTAGCCACACCCAGAGCTCCACTGCCCCACCCAGTGAATGGAGCCATGGTGGTGGCCGTATGATTAGACGACCGGCTTGGCACTTGGGGTGACTCAGGTGGCTGAACAGGCTGTGGTGGTTCAGAAGGCTGTGATAATTGTAGTGATTGCTCCTGTGATAGCTGGGATTGCTGTTGTTGTGGCAGCTGATAATGTGGCAGCTGTGACTGCTGGCGTCGTTGGGACTGGGGCTGTTGAGGATTTCGAGCGCGAGGCTGCTGGGGCTTTCGAGGCTGAGAGGGTTTCTTAGGTTTCTGAGGGTTTCGAGGACCTTGCGCCTCTCGTGATTGAGGGGATTGCCGGACATGGGTTGTCGGATATGCTTGAAAGGACGATAGTAATGTTTCGAGTGATGCAGATGGATTACGGGAGGAAGCATTGCTGAGCAAAGACAAGGAATTCGCGGCATCCACGGGGCTCTGGGTTTCCTGAGCCTCCTGGGGTTCTGGGTGATGTAGCAACCAAGGTATGGAGGTAGTTGAAGGCTGAAATGATGACTGGGTTGACTGGAAGGCTTCAGAGGGATGAGTTGGGGGGGTGTTACTGCGCATGGGGTTGGAATCTGCAGTGGCTTCATCGCGCCGAGCTTCCTGGTTTTGTGGAGACTGCAAAGTGTACAAGGATAACGACGGGTCTATTGCAGAAGATGATTGGAAAAGCTCTATAGATGATTGCAGCGGTGTAGCTGTGTTGCCTGAGGCGTTACCGGTCACAGGCGTAGAATCAGCAGTACCCTGGGGTTTCTGCGGCTCATGGGCCTCTTGTTGGTCAGGAGGATGTGAAGATTGAGATATGTGATTTCTAGAAAACTGCTGGAACGTTATGATGGACCGAGAAGGCGTGGAGGTATAGGTTGAAGAGGCATTGCTGATGATAGGTGTGGAACTGGCGGTATTCAGGGCTTCCTGTGAGGGCTGCGGTTGCGCTAAGCGATTTGTGGGAGGTGGTAAAGATGTGCTGGATGCCTGACGCGCCATAGTGGCACGTTCTTCAGAGTGTATGCTAGCCCGGGGTGGTGGGTTTGAGGTAGTCAAGGGCACCTGTGGTTCCTGACCTTGGGGTATGGTATCGGTCGTTAGCTGAGATAATGATTGTGATGGTTGAGGTGGTGCAGTTGTAGGGTTCCCAACGCTAGTACCGACTATTGGTGTCGAAGCTGTAGCGGTCGGCGGCTGCTGGCTCTCCGAAGTCGGCGGCGCAGTAAAACCCTTGACCTGTTCTGATTTCTTTTGAGGTTCTATTGCGGTCACCTTCGTTGCCGTTTCATTAGTCTTCTGTGGTTCCTCCAGGGCCTTTCTCACACGGCTAAGCATATCAACGCTCTTCGCCTGCTCCACTAATAAATGTGTGAGGAATCTCTGAATCTGAATAGCAGTGGCAGGTGGTCCGCTTCGAATCTGTCGAAAGTATGAAGCACACTCAGCCTCAGTCTTCGGGATATTGAACTTCGAAAAGTCATCGTCCATGATCGAGCTGGCATCTTCCGCAAAGCGCCACGAGTCGGCCCCAGAGGAAGCACCGGGAGGAGGAGCACGCGGCGGAGGCTTCCTAGCTTCTATCAACTGCGACCAGGTCTTGCGAAAATCGGGGTGACGGATCAAAAAGCGCTGAGACCATTGGCTTCCAATTGGCTGAAATTTCATGCCCAATTGAACACATTTCTCCCGATATAGGTCATTTGCAACCTCCCAGATCAGCACATTGGTCGGTCGACGATCATCTTGTTCCACCCGCCGCAGTGCCTCTTTACCGATCGAGTCCTCGTCTGTTGCATCCAGTTTCTGGAGGGGATGCGCTGCTTCCCGCCTTGGTAACCGCGGCCCCTTCATCCGACGCTTGAGAAGAGTCTGTGGGATTCCCCATGCGGCAGCGGCGGCTTTGAGGGTTTGATACTGACCGGCTCGTATGCCGCACGCGCTTGGGCAACTCGGGTCTCGTTTAGCAGGGAAGGGTCGGGTGGAAGGACATCCTTTGGAGCGGTTTGTTCCTCATTTGGCTGTTCATCCTCTTCCTCATACTGCAACTCATTCTCTATATCATTCCATTCCCCAGCTTCCTGAAGGTGCAAGGCCTGGCTAGCGATCTCGGCAACCCTCAATGGTGATTCATTCGCAACCTCAACACTGACAGACTGATTCGTTCTCTTCTCGCCATCCCTTTTCTTCTTCTTACTGAGTTCCGGCTTAACAGGGATAACAACCGATAGCCCCGTATGCTGCGTTGAAAGCCTTGACTGCGGTCTCGAGCGGGTCACCCTCGAGCGGGTTGGGGTAGCTTTGGCACGCGATTTACCTGCACGAGCGGATCTCCGTCGCAAGAATTGCGCGCTCTTGGGTGCTTTGCTCTCGGAATTAGTTTTTCTAATAATAGTACCTAGGAAAGAAACGAGTTACTTACGCATTCTGCATATCCGTCTTCAGGGGACGGGCGTGATGCAGTTCACGCGATCTGGGCTCTTTGGGGAGATTTCCTGATGTGGATGGCCGATAAGCGTCGGCAGCCATGTTTCTCCGGTGTGTATGGGGAACTACTAGTAGTCCCGGGTGGGGTTTGCTTGGTTGCTATCAGGTGGAGTTCAATCATCTAGCTGCCTGATCTATCTGGCATCCATTTCCTGCCATTGTGGTTGTAGCCATAACGTCCATTACTTCACCTTTTACTTCTTCACGGTCTTGCTCAACACACACGAAAACGGAGAGAGAGACAAAGAAGTATTCCACAGGTGAAGGCCTTCTTTATATCTAACCAGACGCCAGCAGGACATAAACTACTAGCAAAGGATGTAATATCCTTTGTCTTATTATACATTCTGCTGAGCTTCAATTTCCACCTAGCTACGCTGTTCATAGCTTCCCAACTACATATTTCCACAACTCTGATATAAGTCATTACAAACGCTTACTACTAAATGATTCTAATATACACAAGCCAGTCAGTTATCGTCCACAACCACCACCATCCAAACACCAACCTCGCCATTACTTGCTAGCAACGGCGTACAATGAACCCATCGATCTCTTCCCTGGGGATTGAATCTTGTTACCCATTTGATACGCGCAGTGACACTGCGTCCAGCCATAAATGCGTCCAGCAGTTCTTCCCGTGTTGAGGCGCTGCCGCCAACACGTGACAAGAAAGAGGACTGAAGAATGCCGGGAATCTGAAGAGCTGGCGAGGTAAACAGGATCCGGAGAGACGGATAGGGCCGAACAAGGAGGTACTAAGATAATTAGCACTAGGGCGGCCTGAGAGATGAAAAGGCCCAGGAATCAGGGCCCAGACAAGGAAGACGTACATTTTCGTAAACGCCGGTTAACGAACCGCGAAACAACGCAGTTTTTATGTCTCTCTCGCGTATGGCCTCCATCTCCACTGTATCCGCCGTTGACCAAGTGCGACTATGGCCTTTCCAATTCCGATCGAATACTGCAGGGATAGGCTTAAAAAGATTCCCTCCCACCTCGTGCACCACATTCAGCTCTCGTGGACTAAACAACTCACTAAGTTCGCAGAGCTCGTCTGAATGAACCTCCTCCTTTATTGCTGCATCTTCTTCGACATTAGCGCCTGCCTCCATGTTTCGCTGCCTGTCTAGCAAAGCGCACAGCGAATCCATCTGCGCACCTTCCATAGCTAGGCCGGACACATCGATCTGGGCGCCAATAAAGTACCGGACTGTTCCTTGACTGTCACAAAGGGGGGCGCATTGAAGGAGATTCATAAAAGGAGAACCGTCGCGGCGACTGTCGTATCCATCAGTAAACTTTTCTGTCCGTGATGTGCCATACTAGTACTGCGTGCTTACTAGTTGAGGAAGAGTTCTGAGTGGTGCCTTCCTGCTTCTATAGCCTCTCTGATTCTCCTCACGCTGTTTGGGTTTGTCTTGGGGCCTTGAAGAAACCGACAATTGCGACCGAGAACATAATCCATGCCGTACTGCGTCGTGCGATGGAACTCTGTTTGCTGCTCCGTTAACATCCTTCATACATCAGCGACCCACCTGGCGATGAACCTACCTTCTGATGCAAATATGATCGGATTATCCCGTCTTGACGGATCGGTCAAGCAGAACACCTCAGCCAGTGCATCGGATGTCCCCTGGAATTTACGCGGGAGGGTTCCTCGCACGCGCTCCTCAACCACCCTGCTCGTGATTCCAATACAGCGCGAGGTGATAAAAGCTGGAAGTTCCTCGTCTGTAAGTGCTTGAAGCGCTTCGTGGACACGGCGCTGAAGGGCGGGATTAAAGCTTTCCCCGACCTGTTCCGTGACCGCAATCGTCGGCGGAGGCAAGTCGACGGCACATCTGACCAGAGCGTTGGCGTACTCAATTGCCTTTAGCGCCTTACGTGTGTTCAAATAGTATGTCAGTAGCTCAAGCGACCGAGGGCGCTCTTCAAGGAGGAACTCGCGAAAGCGCGCGAGATATCGTGGGTTGTTGAGTATAGATAGCATGTGCTCTGGAGAGAACATGATATCTGCGAGACGCTCCAAGCTGTGCAGGGGCGCCTCCCAGGAGTCGCTAAAAGGGACGATCAGGTCATAAGAGCAGCCTGCTTCTTGGACAGGATAGAACTGGTCAGACCCATCCCAAGGGTTTGGCTCTTGCAGGAGTGGCAGTTCATGGATCATGTAATTTCTGCGGAGGGTTTTGATGGAAGCCCGTGGCTGAGGGCCGGTACGCTGTCGAGGTTGCGCGCGCCACTTGGGGGTCGTGGAAAGGAAGTGATAAGCTCCTCGGGAGAACTGTGATTGTGACTCAGTTTGGATCCAAGGATTGTGTTGGGAAAGCGCTTACTTTGACGGGGGATAATCATCCAATGCGACAGTTGAGGTGTACGATCGCAGAGAGTCCGTGTCGAAGCAAGTATATCTCTCCATGGCGCCGGTTTGTCCAGCGCTTGGAACCAATCGTGGGGTTCATCCTGTTTTATACCCCAAAGTCTCCCATACGTGGCCATGATATGTCCAAAGATCGCTCCTGGGCTGTCGCATTCTGACTCCATTTTCAGATAGCTGAAGGCAGCCTTTGCGTTTAAGTATGAAGCGATCGACCACATTGAGTGAATGCATAGAACGATCGATCGATGCGCTGCAGATGTCAACCACGAGATCGGGGTGCGCAGTTCGCGGATGATGTCATGGTGCAGGAGACGTATCACCTTCCCACAACCCTTTCTATAGTACTTAGGGGGGATATTCTAGACACTATGGATTGTGGCTTTTGAAGGGTGTCTAGACCATGTATTCGAATTAATGGAAAAGGAATCCGACCGGGATTGCTTTCTGTCTGGTGCCTTGCAGACTTCGCGCAACGTGATCCGTCCTGGTTCCTGTTCTATTACTGGGAAAGGAGTCCTTCCCTGACGGCCCTATCTGACAACCTGCGTTTTTTTTCAGTCGCAGACCATTTGACGGGGGAATTGGTATTGTATCCATATTTCCTTCAAATGTGTATCTGATGTTGATGCCTGAGGGACGAGCTCTATATGTTCGACAAACGAGACAAAGCCCTAGCTAGGCCCTGGTATAAAGGCCAGTACAGCTAATGCCAGTATAGGCAATGTCACATCGTTATATCGTACGCTATATTTACTAGCCCAGAGATTCTAAAGTCAAGATTCACGAACTACCTACCAGAGAGAGTAGTGAGTCCTGGCGGTCATAACGGAGGGACGAACTTTCTCGGTGATATGTTGGTGGTCGGGCGTTGTCGACCCCATGCTTAAATATACCTACTTGTATAGAGCCAGCACGTGGCTGAACTGCTGTGAGAATTTAGACCCGTAAGTCGGAACAAATCAAGCCTCCCAAGTATACCGGGCACCCAAGCCGTCTTGTGAAGTTTACAAGTATTTGGAAGGCCACAGATTAATCTCTTATAGAGTGGAGTTCAAGGAGCCGGCGGAGGGCAGGCTCCTGCTTATGAACATTCCTCAAGCCAGAGTCCAACGAGACTCTTGCCCCTGACATTTGCACTCATCGGCCGTATAGGCATGGGCATGGGCACCCACCAGCGCAGCCCGTCACCGACGGAGTTGCGCGATCGCATACATGAGCGGGAGATTCAAAGCAACGATGTAAGGCGTGGAAAACCACATTTGAGGAATTAAAGAAGCGGCAAGCAAAGGCGAAATACAAGTCCGCCATCGACAGACGTGCACCGTTAGTGCTTCAGATCTATTACCTCACGATTTGGATCTGGCTCCACGCGTGTCTGGCTATGAGTGAGAGGGCGTACGATCATTTAAACTCTGAGTTCCAGAAGCTGGTCACGGCCGCAGAGCGAATAGCACAACTGACTCCAGCTACGCAGAAGGCAGAGACATTTTCCCTGGAGAGCTACGACGCTGGTTCACTGTATTGCACTTCAAGAAAGCGTCGACACCCCATACTTCGTTGCAGGGCGATTAGCGTACTGGCGACGTATCCTCGGCAGGAGGGACTCTGGGCGAATAGACAGAGTTACATCGCTGCGAAATATTGCATGGAATTGGAAGGAGCATCACTGGCGCATCACCCCGTGGAGCTACGAGTGCCTGAGCATCGCTATCGGCTCTTAAACACGAACTTTCTCAGCGGGTCAACCGACAACCCCCAGAAGGTTCAGCTCACATGGAAGTCAGATACGGGGAACGGATGGGCACATCAGGTCGGTTGTATCTGGTAGGTGGTGAGGGATCGGCAGCATTTCCTCGCAATATATACATTCATAAGTAGATACATAACACGTTCGGGATATCTTCCTAGTACGCTATAGCCAACCAGCAGTTCAACAGGCATTACCAGGACCAAGAACAACTCAATATCCATCCCTGGGCTTATTGTCCGCGTCGCGGCCCTGTGCAGCCGACAAGCTTTGTACCATAGCATTTCCCATAGCCCCCTGGTCCGTAATGACGGACACCATGTCGAAGCCTTGTTCGGCGTATCCACGGGCCTGCGCACCATCCGTACAGAAGATCGCTGCCTTCTTGCCCGCAGCCTTGGCAGCTTTCAAAATGCGCTCAATTGCGGCCTTGTGCTCGTCTCCGCCACGAACGACGCCAATCTGTTTCGCGAGGTCGAATGGACCTAATGAAATGTTAGCACATGTCCACAGCACTCTATACCTTCGCGGTGTTCCTCGTTGCCATGGTAAACGTACCGATCAGAAGCACATCCAGTCCCTCCACCTTCGCAATTTCCTCAACACTGTCCAAACCGGACTTGGACTCAATCTGCACCATGACCAGCAAGTTCTGATCGGCGTTGTCGTCGTATTGACCTCCGGCCTGGACACCGGGAAAAGCGTGGGGCGCATACAACGGCCCGTAGCCTCTGCAACCGACGGGCGGGTACTTGCAGTATCGCACAACACGACGGGCGTCCTCCTATCGACCCCGGAAGAGAACAAAGTGAGTCTCTCGGCTCGAACACGGGACGCATCAACGCGTACCACCTCGGCATCGCTAGCGATGGTCGGTGACTGGGGCAAGGTTCAGAACTTACCACTGAGTGGCACATAGGAGTCAGAATTCCATGAGCACCAGAATCCAGAGCACGCTTGATCATCCATTCTTCCTGCCAGGGCACGCGGATGATTGGGCTGGCGCCTTCCGAGGCAATGGCTGTTGTGAGCTATATCTTCTAATTAGCTGCTGTGAGTCCCTCGCATATGGCAGAACGCACGTCATAGTAGTCTCTGTCTGTGATCAGTCCGTGCTCTGCGTCAACCAGGACCCAGCTGAAGGCCTCGACCGGCGAGGCGGTTGCAGCGCGGAGGATGGTTCGGGCGACGGGGGCGCTGGGGACGCTGTATTTGCGATTTCGAGTTAATTGGGTTTCCACAGTAGGTCATCATGGTGATATTGAATTCAGACAATATTGCAGGCTCTCTACGGCGCTCTGGGGGGAAACCAGCTCGGGGAAAGGACAGTGGGGGGAATGCGGGGGAGGGAATACGCACGTAAGCCAGAAGCCGTATGCCGTCGATTGGCGGGCGAGAGAGGTACGGAGCGCAACGTTCAAGGCCATGGTGAACTTTGGATCTGGGTGGTTTGAGGAGATTGTAGAAGGGAAGAAGAAGAGCAAAGAAGAGATCCAAGTGATGTCTTTTCCTCGGCAACTCGTTAAGATGTTTACCCCTCGTCTCGGGGTAAATCCGACCGAGGAAGTGTGGGGAAAGCACACGACGCGATAAGGGCTACTGGGTGCCTGCCAACCATGGTTGGATCGCTCTTTCCAGCATAGCACCTGTCATCGGTGTTCTTTCCAATCTTTTGTGTTTAAACTAACGGGCTCGGCTGCACGTCCGGTTACCTCCAATCGGGGCTATCCCGCGACGTTGGAGAGAAGCCATATGTTCTTTCGGGATACCGTCGGGCGAAGCAGATAACGAGATATGTACACTAGCAACGGGGAAAAAAAGACCAGAACGACTAAGAGACAACAACACTCAGTAAAACCGGCTAGTCACACCAGGTATGGCCTTCAAAGGTTTCCCTGGCCAGCACTGCTTGGCACCGAGCTCTGCGCATCGGCATACGGGGAAGCCGACGCGATATTCTTGCCCTCGAAGTTCACCAGGAAGGCCGTGTCCGCTTGACTGAAAGCACCCGAGCTCCCAAACCCATTGATCTCGCAGTTGCGACCGAGGTACGTGGCGCAAACAGTGTTGGTGTTGGTATCGGGCGATGTGAATAGCTGTCCCTCAATCGGCGACTGCACGGGGGTATTGATGTTTTGGAAAACATTCCCCTCGGCAAGGACGTAGCCGCCTGCTCCGATCTCGAAGGCATGGCCGGTCGAGTCGTACCAGTAGTTGTTGACCTGGTCTGTGTTTAGTGGTGGTTCAATACACGGGAAGGCAATGGTGGACTTACGGCATGAAGAAGTGTGTTCTCCTGGACCTTGGGGCTGCGACCGCTAAAGTGATGGATGTAGTTGCCTTTAAAAGTGATGAGGTCGCTGGAGCCAGCGAAGTAGATGCCCCAGTAGGCGTACCCGTCACAGGTGGCACTGTAGTCCGAGACACCGTTGAAGTAGCTGTTGGACACCGTCACGCGGTTGTCGGCATCATTTCCGAGAACGAGGTGCTGGCGGCCAATACGGGCAGTCTGGGAAAGGGATCAGTATAGGGCGTTGTTGGACCCAGCTGGGGGTAGACAACAGACCGTGACGTGATCAATCCAGACCATATCCGCGTCGTTGAGGGTGATTGCGTCGCCTCCCCACACGTACTTAGGGTTGAGATCTGTGATGGCAATGTTTCTGGATCGCGTTAGAAGTGAATTCACACATGGACACGGCGCTGTACGCACTGGATGATGATGTTGCTTGCACCGCTGACAATTCGAAGGCCTTTACCCTTGATGACACCACTGGAGCCCGACCCTAGGAGAGTCTTGTCCGAAGCGACCGTTATTCCGAGTACACCGGCATTATCACTGTCGTCACATCAGCAGGGAGCTCGCCATCTGGCCCAAAGCCAATACTCACTATGTGACGGATGCCGAAGGCGCATCGGGCTGATAGTTGGTGCACCAGTCATTCTGGTTAATGGCAAGCTGACAGGCGGCAGCAGTTCCCCACGGTGCACACCCAGTGGCCGTAGTGGTGCCTTCGGTGCCCGTGAAGTCGAACCTGTTCCGATTAGATTCAAGAGCTTCGTGGTCCCACGATAAAATACGCACGTGCGGTCCAGGACAATAACACGAGGAGACGAATCGCCAAGGTAGGACACCAACTCGTCCGTCGTGGTTGGATACACAGCAGCAGCAGAGCCACCGCCGGTCACACCCTTGGCGAAACCCTCTGCAGCACCAGAGACGCTGAC